GACTTTGAAGATATTTCAAATGATTTCAAATTAATAACAAAAATCCAGGGGTTGGCCATGGATCTCTGAACAATGCATCTGCAAAATAGGTTATTTCTTCACAGCTGAAATTAAAGACATTTTGGAAAAAAAAAATCACAGTTGTGTCACACAGCACAGTGCAGTTACTGCATTCATTTTATTGTCAAACAGGTTTGACAAAATGAAGGTCTATTGACGCCAGACTGAGAATGATCTCAATAATGAAGTGGAGGTGTATAGAACTAGTAATATTTTCTAAGCAATTTTTTTTTCAAATTTCTGTATGCACCTAACCAAATACATCTGTACTTAGTCCCAGCCCAGTCCCAGCTGTGAATGGAGCTTGAAACTCCTTTTCAATTTGTTTTCTTCATTAGGCATTTAAGAGGACATTTAACCCCCTCGACTCCAAATATCAGATGTCTCAATTTAGTATCATCCATGAGAATATAGTGGTAGAAAGGATGCAAGATTAATGTAAACAACGTACTCCTGATGTGTTGCCTTGTACACCTTTGAATTTCTTCCCCCAAAGTTAAAATAGCTTCTTCCCATCATATTTAAGCAAGCATGCACACCTCAAATCTTCTTCTCAGAGATTAGAAGTTTCTAATCATTATGCTCTACTATACATTTTTCCCAAGAGGGAAAGAAAAAACAAAAAAAGTACACTGAAAAATAAGCATAATCACACCACTACCAGTTTGACTTAATATTCTGGGGATATAAAACAGAGACTGATGAAGGGTTAGGTATCACAAGAGATAGAGCCACCTCTGAACGGAGGAGGCAGAATGTTCTACCTCTTCCTTCCTCCCATTCATTTCCACATTTCCCACACAATCAGTCCTGCCAATGCAACACTGTAGAGTTACAGTCTATACTAGCTCCATGACAAGCAAAACCCAACTTCCTTTTGTCTATGTGGCCTTAAGCTCTGTAGTGACTTTGACACCATAGACCTGGGGTGAATGTGGTTGCACAGTTTCTAGCAAAGTCAAGTCCCAAACTAGGATTGAAATTACTAATATCATTGTGTCTTAGTTTCAGCTGGGATGGAACTGTTTTTCTTCAGAGTGTCTGGTATGATGCTGTTCTTTGATTCTAGGAGAAAAACATGTTGGTAACACACTGATGTCTGTAGTTGCTGCTAAGCAGTGCTGCACAGAGCCAAGACCATTCTCAGCAAAGGGCCCAAGGAGTTGGGAGGGAACAGAACTAAGACAGCTGACTGAAAGTGGCCAAAGTGATATTCCATGCCATATAACATCATGCAGAAGGAGTTCTGAAGGGGATGACAGTTCACCTCTCTCTTCCAATACTCAGAGGGCTAGGCATCAGTGATGAATTGCTTGTGCGTCACTTGTTACATACATCCATACATAAATGCTGTCATAACTATTATCCTTTCCTCCATCTTAGTAAATACTTATTATCTCAATCCACAAGTTCTACCTTTTTTTTTTTTTTCTTTTTTTTTTCCCCCAATTCTCTGCCGCATTTCAATGTGAAGAGAGGGAGTGAGCAAACAACTGTGTGGTGCTTAGCCACCTGCTGGGTTAAGCCACAACACACTGAAATTCTCCTATTTCTAATGATAAATTGAAAATGACTGCTTAGATTATCTCTGTAAGTAATGGGATCACATTAAGACAAGTGCACTGAAGATAAATATTGGATATAAACTCCCGACAGCAAGACATCTTAGAATGAGAGATGGGAAGAAGTTCTATTCCTTGAATTATATTGATTCAGAAGATGGAGAAAAAAAGAACAGAAACTGAAGCACTAGAAAAAGCATTGGACTTGCCAAGAGCATAAGGGAAATGGAGAAAACAGAGAGAATACCGTGACCTAAATAACTTGCACTATAAGCCTGTATCAACTCAATCCAGATAACTTGGCCTAAAAAACTTCTGCGATCATAAATGGAACGGTGTTATTGAAATTCATGAGGAAAAAAAAAAAAAATCAGGAAAGAGACGTATACCAACTAACTTTTAGCCATACATCCACTTTCAAGTGCTTCAGTGTCCAAAATTAGGCCATAACGAAGAGGATCTGCTTTTAGGAATATCTAGATTTACTGACACAGGAGTTTTCTGAATGAAATGAAACAAAGGAAGTCAGCTTTGTGAATTTCTAAGCGGAACCCAAGAGCTGCAAGAGCCTTTGCAAGAGCCTCCCTTGCTTGTACAGAGGTATAGTTTACATGGCATTTGCCTGGAGAGAGAAGTGCCATTATGCCTCAGAATGGAATGTTGAGCCTTTTATCAGTCTTCTTGTTCTATTTCTCATTACTAAACTGACTACTACAGAATGTCAGTAGAGATAGCGTCTTCTTTATTAGTCATTATTTACTGAAATGTACACCACACTAGTATCCGCATCTTTTTCCGAGGAAAAAGATATAATTTTTGAAATGTTTCTAATTACTCCAATATGACTTCCTGGATAAGTACTGAATTACAATTGAAAGCTTACACTCAGTTTAATGATAGCTATAGAAAAAAAGACTAGAGGAAATGGTTTTAAGTTGAGGGAGGGAAGACTTAGGTTGGATGCCAGGGGGAAGTTCTTTACAGAGAGCGGTGAGGTGCTGGAACAGGCTGCCCAGAGAGGTTGTGGATGCCCTGTCCCTAGAGGTGTTCAAGGCTAGATTGGATGGGGCCCTGGGCAGCCTGGTCTAGTATTAAATGGGAAGGTTGGAGGCTCTGCATGTTGCAAGGGGTTTGGAGATTCATGATCCTTGAGGTCCCTTCCAACCCTGGCCATTCTGTGATTCTGTGATCCCACAATGAAATTCTGAAAAAGCTTGATGCTTGTTCAGTGATGCTAACTACAGATATAAAAGGAACAACCTCTCAAAAACTGGCAAGAGAAGTGAAGGCTTCATGTATTTTCCAAACTCTTACTTCCTGCACAGTTTCATACAGAAGCAATCATTTTCAAGTTGTACAAATATATCTCATTTTCTCATTTGTTGGTTTTAGTGTTAGCCTACTACTATACGCTTGGTTTCACCATACTTAAAGGCAAAATTGGCTTCTAAATTTCTTTGATGTTTTCTTGGAAGCTTCCGAAAATATTCTCACCACTGCCAAGGCTCAGCTACAGGAATGCGTTTGCACTGGCTCTCGCAGACACCCAGTAAACCCATGGTCAACCCCAATGAGAAATTTGGTAACTATACCAGGAGACCAGCAAGCTAAATTTACTGAAGCTATATTGCTAGAGTAGGATGCTGGAATCTCATGGTTATGCTGCATTTCTTTGCCTACTGACAGCTTCTTGTGACTCATGCCAGTTCCCCTTCCCACCTTTTCTAATGCAATGAGGTATTAATGTCTCGTTATGTTTCACACAGTTGCAGGCAGGCTAATTTTAAGCTACCTGTTAACAATAAATTATTTAAGACTCTACAGGGACTCAGCATTTTTCTAGTGCTTGAGAAGTCACCTGACAATTTGTGAAGTGGGAGTCAGCTACTGCTGGTGCCAGGAACCTCACAGCAACAGCAGAGGAATCAAAAAATTCAAAAGTTGTAATAAAGCAAATCTAAGATATCCTAGACTAAGCAAGGCTAAATCTAGCCTTTAAAGTGTATTTACATTACATATATACACCACGCTGTTCTGACCTTTGAGGTCACAGCAATTTTCTGAACATCTCAGAGCAAAGGAGCACTCAAATCTGGACTTAGAGTTTCAAGAAAGTCAACAGAAAGCAGTTCAGGTCTCAAATCTGGTGATCTCCTGGGTTCCAATTGTAGAGTAAACATGCCCAGCCTTGGCTAGACAGAAACCAGGAGAAGCTGACTAACCTACTAGTGAGCAAAGTGAATGTGCCCTTAAGCCATGCCTGCTATTTACTATAGCCAGGAATTTAAAATGAAGGCCTATTTCAGCTTCCAGACAAACTATCAAAAGCAAGAAGGATGCTCTGCCTTTTTAGCATATGCATTCCTAGTCAATGTACAGAAGTAAAGATACAAATATCCACAGTCTTACACCCTACTGAATGAAGAGCTAATTTGTTATATAGTTAAAATTGTATAAGTGGTTGAGCACAAACAATGGAAAAGATATGGGTACCACAACTGTAACCCAAGGAGCCTGCTGATTGGTCCAAGGAGACACATCCTAGAAACCATCCTAGAAACTGAACCAATTGAAGATGGAATACTTCCTCAAACTACACTGGGGTCGGAAGGACCCTGTGAGGATCATGTACAGTCTTCATTTCCACAACCACCAGGAGGCACTACGCCTCCTAGTGTAGAAGCATTGATTAGGGGTCAGGTTAAGGGCATAGAATGGGTATATTATAATGAACTCCCAGAAATAACTGTAATAACCATCCCTTGTCCTAGAAATACTAAGAATACGCATGCATTCCTTCTATAAATAAAGATGTTTACCTGCATCCACCATGTGTGCAGTGCTGAATAACATACCTGCTTTATAACTACTTTGTGGTTATAGAGTTTGACTCTGCAACTCAGTTTGGCGAGTCAGCCAGGAGTATCTTTGCTGGACCTCAGGGCTGGTGGGACCAGAGGACACCCCAGAAAAATTCAGAGAAGACTCCCCAGGCCAACACACCCACTCTGGGGCAGGAAAAGAGCTCCAGCATAGACCAGCTGTGTTACAGGTACAGGGGACCCATAAGCCACAAGGAGATGTTTGATTCCACAACTCACTATAACTTGCCTGGTCCCAGACTCCAAGCGCCTACCCTGCTTTACTCCACCAGTGAAACTTTCATACACTCCTACAAGAAAATAGATAATAGCCAGCTATAGTAGCCTTTCTACTCCACTTCCACTAGGAACACATCCAGAATCACTTAAAATCAGTTATTTCAGTCTGTAAAGTGATAGAAAGCACAACAAAACAGCAGAGCAGCAAAGCCCCAGACCGCAAGAAGTGAGGATCCATTCAGACTCAACAGCAGTAGGAGCAAAAGAAACTGCTTACCCTCAGAAAGGCTATAACGTCATCAAGTAGGCAGGGATCCCCAGATAATAACACCTTTCTTCCACAGCCAATCCCTAAATGAGGTCGGGGAAGGAATGGATTCTGGCTCCATGCCTTCCAATCACTCAGGTTCATTGCACACATCTGAGCTCCTCTGGGTTGGCCCTGCCTTCCCACCAGGTTCCTTTCCACTGAACCACATGGCTCAGGCCATGACTTAGCATTTCCACTATGCAGTCTTATACATAAATACCTGCCACTGTTTAGCTACTGTAATATCACTATTACTAATCAGTTGTGCCACAGATACATTAATAGAAATTGAATAAGCACATGCATAGAGCATCTTCCTGAATCATAAATAATGCAATTGTCAATATTATCTGTGAAGTAGTGACAACAATTCCACAGCAACAGTTATTCATAAAGTAATCACAGGAAGACCATGCAGCAATCCTATATTTTTATCTTGAGCCTGGTCAAAATAGAATAATGCCTCTGAAAGAAGATGAAGACAACATAGCTCTGACCACTGCCTTTAGATAAAATTCCTTGACAGGGGGGATGTTTACAACTGCCCTAATCAGATGCTTCTCACACAATTTTATTCCACTCTACACCTTGTGTTGTAAATCAGGCTTTAAAAAGCAGATAGCAACACTGTGATCTTATGTCAGGAATGAGAGATGTTTGTTTAATGGGCCTTTAAATTGTTTGTTTTAGGAAATGCATATACCACTGCCAACACAATAACTTCCCACCATATTTTTAACTTGCTCTTTCTTTAAGCAATAAAAGAATGACAGGATAAGAATCAGTATAAATAACAATAAAGCAGTGCTTGTTTGCATTTTCCCAAACCACTGTCTCCTAGTTCTGCTGTAGTCAGACTATGGTTGCAATCAGTTTTTGAAATATGCCTTTTTCAAAAACTCAAGAACAACAAAAAACACTGATTGTATCACTCTGAGCTGAACAGCTGCTGTTTCACTTAAGAGTGGTAGTGCATCCTTGAAATTAGAATAAAAATCAAGTGTTGAAGGCCTCACGCAGTTATTAAAGCTATGAATTTAAAGCACACTTAGGTAACATGGCGACTTGATTTTTGTCTTTCACTGTCTCTTGGGTTCATCAATTGCTCCTCTAAAAAATTCAGCTTTCCCCCCCACCCTCTTAATTTTTTAAATGGTTGCTTGACACATTTTGTTCTCAACAGATTATCTTATTCAGCTATGTTTATATCTCAAACTTTTCATAGATCTGATGAAATAAACTTCTTTTTATGAGCATGTATCAAATTATAGAGAACTTATTTTCCCATATTTTTATGAAGACTATTTCAGATATCTGTGAGTCCAACTAGACTGATTTTCTTTGCCTTATCATGTCATGAGTTAAATAAAAACAGTGTTCATTTTCCCCTATTAGGTCTACTTTGCAGGTCTTTAAAATATAAGATAGTTTCAAATAGAATCTGTTATTTACTGCAGAACAATCTGTTTTGTTATATTTTACTGCCTGGGAATGTGCCTGTGCAAATTCATTCCAGGAGGAGTAAGCAATTTCAGGTCAGAAAATTGCTCTGGATGTGGACAGAAAAAGATGAAGTTATTTGAGTCCCTGCTGTACCTTGCAGTTTTCCTTAAAAGATACAAAATAATTTTGTTGATTAACTTAAACTAATTATGGAAAGTTCCAGAAGACCTTGAATAACCAGAATTTCCCTAAAGCTAACAGCAGGGGATGCTATATATACTTTTTTGGAAGTATGCATTACAGAAAATACTGGAAAATAAGTGTTTTCTGAGTGAGAAAAAGTTGATTAAGCCTGAACTGAATGGAAGAGACCAACACTCCTCCCTTCTTGACGTATAACCAAGTCAAAAGACAGGAAAGGTTGATGAAAAAGTTAAGAAAATTAGTTATACAGAAAAATGTTGGTCTTGTAGTTTGTTGGTGTTTTTCTTTTTTTGTTTGCTTGTTTTTTAAGTTACACATACACTAAGCTTTCTCCACATATTAGTAAAAAAGAACAGATATTAAACAGAATTTGTATTCAGCACCAGAGGAAAAGTTTCAGAGGAGAACTCTAAGAAGGCCAAGATAAGTAACAACATTTTAAAGAGAACTGGAAAGAAACAGACAGAAGAAAGCCATGTTCATAGATAATAATAGATATTAAGAAAGAATGACTAGATTTTGTATGAATCTTTGCAAGGAGATGAAAATAAGCAGTGAGTGGTTCCTCCACTATACAAAATCAGACAACAACAACAAAAAAAATGAAGCTGATACGGAAGAGGCAAGAACTGAAAATGAATCCGATATCTTCTATTAAAAAAATAAACAAAACAAAACAAAAAAAACAACTTTGGTTTTCTATAAATATTTTATTTCCAGACTTGATGTTAAGGGCAAGATAGCTTATATAGTTTTGAAGCAGGAGAAAAACAAAATGCATTTTAACAAAATATCAGCTAACATCTGCTAAAGTAGTATGAAAAGAACAGGCATAGGAAATAATGGGTTATTTCATGAGGATTTTTAAAATATGTAAGTTCAGGTAGCATGATATACTATTAGCAGCTCTATTACTGTATCTGTATTTAAGGACTGGGGAAGAAGTGATTCAGCAAGGGAACAAGCTGTTCATCTTAATTGCTAGTACACCAAAGCTTCAGGAAGGGAATCTGAAGGAGAGAATTATGACAGGAGAAACGGAATAAAAAAACAGTGACAGAAGTAGAGAGTAAGATAAAATGTAACACAGGTTTGCTAAAGGTAGGTGTTGACAAACTTGACATCTTTCTTTGATAAGATTTTCTAGACAAGGGCAATACAGCAAATCTAATCTACTTGATACTGAGAAAAGCAATGGATTTTCTTTTACATGGCATTTATAGTGAGGAGAGAGAGAATGAAAAAAATGAGTTGCAGAGTTAGTAGCAGTGTGACCAGTGTTATTCAGGCACCAGCTAAAAGGCAACAGTGAACTGTGCTGACAAGGCGCCAAGCCAGAAGGGTGTCCAAAAAGACTCAGTGGCTGACCTTGTGACACCCTTTTTTTTTCATTCAATACAGAAGCATTTATTGTGAACCATGTAATTCAGAAAACATTATCGATATGCAGGAGGATCAAAACACTGAACAGGAGATGGGGGCTGCATATGCATTAATGTTTTCACTTGGACCAGTTACTGCTCTTCTTAAGGCAACTTTTTGAAAAGACAGTCCAGTTGTTAGTTGGCCTTCAAGTCACAGCACCGAGCTAGGGCTGGTATGAGTTCTCTGCCTTTATATCCCAAATGCATAGAGCATGGAGGTCAGCCAGCAAATCAGTTCCTTTTGCATGGTGTTACTTAACTAATGCAGATGTAACACCAGTATCTTTGAGGATTTCATTTACAGAAGATTTGGTGTACATAGTTCCACTTCATGCATCTAAGATTAAGAAAAAGAGCTCATGTTTGGAAATACTAGAGCAGAAAAGAGGTTACTGCTTCATCAAAAGAGGATTTTTAAACACAGAGATTACATAGAAAATGTGCTTGTGAGGAGGGAGAATTTCAGGGCAGACTACCACAGAGAACATCTATGCCTGCACATTCATTTGCCTACATCTTATTCCTAAATTGGGCTACCAAATCCTTTGCTTTCAGTGGCTCTCCCTGACCCCTGCAGCTCTTATCCGCTACATTCAGGTGGGATCGTGCCTCTTCTCTTTGGACTTCAGCAGAATGCACTTATCAGCTCTTGGCCAATGGAGACCAGTTTTTGCTTTCTCAAAAGTGAGAGGAGAGGAGCACTGCCACCACCAGGCTCTGATAGCCACCAGAAGCAGACGCTGGCTTTGTGGGAGCAGCTGAGCTCTTCTCTTGGTGCCTGCAGATCAGCATTGACCATCTGGGCACAGAGCATGGTAGCTCTCCTTCAAGCATGGGAGAAAATGGTAACGTCTGCTCAGTGTGTGCACAGGCATGGGCTGCCCTTTCCTTCACTCAGCTGGATTGTCTTTTTGACTGCTGATTCTCACTTAAGCTGCTGACAACAAATATTCTTTTTTGAGGTTATTTTCCTTGAGCAGAAAGATACAGGAGTGGCTCCACCATTCAGCTGGGAGGTACTTACGGCATCTCTAAGTGCAGAGGCTGGCAACTGCTGTCTTCCACCCGTGAACTGATTCAGACACCAGTGAAAGGCAGACTGTCAAGCTCAGCAATTCAGTATGGATCAAAAAAGATGACAAAGAAAATAAAACAGATGAGGCCAAAATCTGAAAATCGTGGCTATGTCCTTACTCCATAAGAGAGAAGGAGAGAAGAGGATGACTATGCAAGAAATTAAAAGTTATTAAATGTAGAGAAAAAATAAATGGTTAAGCATAGGCAGCCGCCTCCTTTGTTTCTGAATTAGTCATCCCACTCTGTTAGCAGCCATAATAAAAATTTTATGTCTATCTGGAATCTTTGAAACATCCATCCAGAGCCAGTGTTATGAACTATTCGTATTTACCTCATAGATTTTTAAGATATGCTTGAAAGATGTAAGAATTAAAATAACTTTTCAGTCTTGGTTAAGAATTCAGAGGGGTGATGTCTTTGAGATCTACCCAGAATCTTGGGATGTTAACCTACTTAAGTTACATTATGTTCAAAAGCTATGGTGCTGGATGACATGGAAAATCCAGAGGGAACTAGATCAATCAGAAATTAAGACTTCCAGATGTCATTTTATAAATTAATGATTTGATTTCCCATTTGTACAAGTGCTGATGTAAACAACAATTCACAGAAATCTTGTAGTATAGAAGAAACCAAAGGGCCCAGAAGCATATTTTAATGTTACTGTAGTTCAATAACTGTATTTATTGAAGTTCCTTAGGGGGTTGTGTAATATGTATCATAGACATAGGACTGTGTTTTATGGGCCAAATTCTACTCTCAAACTTCATTAGAGGTTTTAAACTAGCATAATGGAAAATGAACATGCTTCCTCTGAGATCTCTAAATCTCTTATAAAATAAGAACAAAAATGGCAACTAAAAATATTTACCATCTGGAATGCATGTACAGTCTACAGAAAAAAAGATGCAGAATAGCCACCTACTCACTGAAGTTGATTACCTCTTCCAGTTAACCAACCAAGTTTTCCTCTTTTGGCAAACTCTCCTGCAAATTGAAATTATGTTTTG